CCCGCGCGGAGGTCGCGGCCGTTCCCGCTCGGTGCCGCCGCCGCGATGTCGTGCCCGGCTCCGGAGCCCGACAGGTGAGCGGGGATGGGCCCCCGCGTGTCCCCCGCATCCTCCCACCCGCCTGCATCCCGCGCATCCTCCCACCCGCCTGCATCCCGCGCATCCTCCCGCTCCCCGTCCCGTCCGGGCCCCGTCCCCATCTCCGCGCACCGGGCGCGGGGTCCCTGCGGAGCCCAGATCCCCTCCCGGTGCCTTTGGGCGCCCCGGTGCGCCCGTGCACCTGCGGCCGCGCCGGCTCCGCGCAGCGCCCGCCAACAAAGCGGCGCTGCCGCCCCGCCCCGCGCTGCCGCCGCCTCCCTCCGCCTCCCTCCGCCTCTTTCCGCGCTCACTCCGCTTCCCCCCGCTTCCCTCCGCGCTCCCTCCGCCTCCCTCCGCCTCCCACCGCCTCTTTCCGCGCTCCCCCACTTCCCTCCGCCTCTCTCCGCGCTCACTCCGTTTCCCCCCGCTTCTCTGCGCGTTCTCTGCGCGCTCCCTCCGCCTCCCTCCGCCTCTCTCCGCGCTCCCTCCGCCTCTCTCCGCGCTCTCTGCGCGCTCCCTCCGCCTCTCTCCGCGCTCCCACCGCGCTCACTCCGCCTCTTTCCGCGCTCCCACCGCTTCCCACCGCTTCCCACCGCTTCTCTGCGCGCTCCCTCCGCCTCTCTCCGCGCTCCCCCGCGCTCCCTCCGTTTCCCTCCTCTTCCCTCCGCCTCCCTCCGCCTCTCTCCGCGCTCTCTCCGCCTCCCTTCTCTTCCCCCCGCTTCCCTCCTGTTCCCTCCGCGCTCCCCCGCTTCCCTCCGCCTCTCTCCGCGCTCCCTCCGCCTCCCTCCTCTTCTCTCCTGTTCCCCCCGCCTCCCTCCTTTATCCTCCGCGCCCCTCCGCGCCCCTCCGCGCTGCCCGAGCCCCCCGGGCTGTGTTTATCTCTCCGTGCCTTTCTGGCGCTCGGGGACCCCTCTGGCTCCGCGCCGCTCCCGGCCGCG